GTCGATTCAGACACATCAGTCACGTCTCGTCACCATCTCGTCACAGTGATTGCGCCGAATTGAACAATCCGTCATACAAAATATTCTTTAATACAAATATGGCGCCGGCATTCACACTCATCAGTTGACGAACAGTTTGCCAGCTGTCAGATAGTTGATAGTTCTGTGACCAAACAGGACCGGTTCGGTACCGTGACTGTGACGTGACTGATGTGTGTGAATCGGCCTTTACATAGGTGTTAAAAATGGTATCTGATAAATTCAATTTTTTTTAACATTTTTTTCACTTACCTCTCATTTATTCAGACTTATATATCAGTCACCCTAAATTGTGCCTAATTTTATAAACATTTTTGTAGTAAATCTTAAAAATCTGACTATATTTATTGATTCCAAATAGAATTAACTGAAAAATAATTTCAATGTAAATATTACACATTATAATATAAAACACTACGATAACTTCTAAAAAATGTTATATTTCAAAAATGTTCTTGTTCACGCTATTCGTACTAGGCAAGCAAACAAGTTCATTCCCTGTAAGAACTCTGACAAGGTAAGTTATGCAAAACTGTAATATTTGTGTTTTTTTTATTTTATTTGTTTTGTGATGTTACAGTAAAACAATATGCAGTCCACCAACAATTATTCTACGAAGCCCAATACAGTCCATAAGAGTTCAGTATATATAATGCAGACCATGATACTATAAACTACAGATAAACCTACGCGCACGCGATCAGTCGTGTGACGTCACTTGGCGACAAATGTCACCAGAAATGTTCTGTGTTATATGGAGTTTTGTCAGATTTAGTCAAGGTTAGTAGATTATCAAGTATCTACTTAAATATCTATTAACCTTGAGATTTAGTTTTGTTTTAACGTTTATCTTGTACGTTGACATCGGTTTACTGGGTAAACCATCTTTCCGAAGGAGGTTTACTTAAACCATATCCAGATTTTCTAATTAAATGTAATGAACTGGACCATATTTTTAACAATTTTAACAAAGGGTCATTAAAATTAACCAAGAATTATTTAAAATCGCTAATGGATTTGGCTGTGTTCAGATGTAATGTTAGTAAAGGTGTAAATTATATTTTAAAATTAGAAAATTGAACAGATATATTAAAGAAACATCCAAAGTTAAAAAGAAGAAAATATTGAAAATTGTAAAATAAATTGTTAAATAAACTTGTAAATTATTACAGTATATTTTATTTTATCAGTTGTATTAAATTTTTATTTTAATAAATAAATCCATTGTATATAAATTTCCATTTGCAAAAGGATGTTTAGTTCTTACTTTTTTATATAATTTTAGTTTACATTGCTAGGCTAACAGAGATGTATATATAACATATTTTTAAGATTTAATTGCAGATATTTTACCTAACATCCCTTAATATTCTAAATATTTAAATAAAAACCCTCTCTTTCCATATATGTTTTACCGACTGTGATTATAAAAGGTTGGTGATAAAAGTGACTTTTATCACCAATTGACGTCATGCGCGTCGATGTACAAGATTCGATTGCGAAGTGGGTTTATCTTGGAAGTCTTAGTATCATGATGCAGACTAAGTCCTCTACATACGTTTATTATATGGGAAACAATTCTTTAAAATTATAGTTTTAAATCACCTCACAAGAGCGAGCATTCAAATTTGAATAACAGTTAATTTAACCTAAACATTTATACAATAAAATGATGTTACAATAATAAAAATGATAATTTATTATATAGTTTAATTGTCGATAAATGATTGAGAAGAAAAATACGTACACATATGTCAAGATTATGTAAATGGGTTTAAAAATTATAAAGATTTTTATGGAAAGTAAACGAAAAACTAAAAACAGACAAAACATGGCAAGAATATAAAAATTATGGTTATCTAAACTTTATGTGGTATTGAAAGAAAGTTATAAATCACCATCAAGTATTTATTTCTCCGGCGTACCTGTTTATAGTTGGAGAATTTATTGTATTATGCAGTCCAAACTTAAATTACGGAAAAAATTCAAGCAGCAATCATTAAAATCGAAACAAACACCTCTCTCGGTGTATTATCAGTCTACAGCCCACCTAGACATCCAATTTCAAGCGAAGAGTATCATGATTTCATACAAACTCTTGGATCCAAATTCATAGTAGCAGGAGACTGGAATGCCAAACACACCATGTAGGGTTTCAGATTACACACACCTAAAGGTCGAGCATTACTGAATATCATCCATCAAAATAACTTAAGATACTTATCTACGGGAGAACTCACATACTGGTCTACGGATGCCAACAAAATTCCAGATTTGGTAGATTTTGTCGTAACAAAAGAGATATCTGACATCCATAGTGCAATAGAGTCAAATTTCGATTTAACAACAGATCACAGTACAATAATAATAACTCTAAGTACACACATAATATGGAGAACACCACCACCCAAACTCACAACTAAAGAAACAAACTAAGATATTTTCCAAAATTCTGTAAATACAAAGATTAAACTAAATATTAGGATAAAAGAAAACCAAGATGCAGAGAAAGCAGTAGACTATTTAGCAACAGTTTTACAAACAACAGGATGGGAAGCAACACCACAGTGCCAAAGAAGTGTGCAAGAAAACCATAATATCCCACTCCATATAAGAGAACTTCTAGCAGAAAAAGAAGAGCTCGACGCATATGGCAACAAACGAGAAATCCACTAAATAAAACGTACCTTAACAGGATAAGTCATAGACTAAATAAAGCATTACATGAAGAAAACTCGACTTTTTTCAGTTTTTTGTGTCGAACCTCTCATATGAAGATCACTCTATATGGAAAGCTACAAAAAAATTTAAACGACCGACAATAACAAGTTCACCTTTAAGAAAAACAGATATAACCTGGGCCCGCACAAACGCAGAAAAAGCCACAGTATTCGCAGAGAATCTTGAAATTGTATTTGCAGCACCAGATACTAATAAAGATGAAGATGATGATATAAAAATGTATGTAAATCCTAAGAAAGCTCCTGGGTATGATTTGATAATAGGAGAATTACTTCTGAAGCTGCCGAGAAAAGTAGTGGTGTTATTAACAATAATATACAAGAGCATACTAAGTCTTCGATACTTTCCAATACAACGGAAATTTGCTCAAGTTATTATGATTCCGAAACCTGGTAAACCCGCAACGCAAGCAAATTCATGTCGCCCTATAAGCCTAATCCCAATAATGTTGAAAGTATTAGAAAGGCTACTGTTACATAAAATCGAGCAAGTTGTTACTATAAACGAAATTATACCACAACACCAATTCGGATTTAGATGTGAACACTCAACCATTCAACAATGCCACAGAATAGCAAGTATAATTAAAACAACTCTCGAAGAGAAAAAGTTTTGCGCTGGAGTGTTTCTAGATATGCATATGCTTTCTCCTACAAACTGAAATTACACCTAACAGACCAACTATACTTTATACTAAAATCATATCTCACTGACCGTTACTTCCAAGTCAAAATTGAAGACAGCTACTCAAATTACTACATCATACAATCTGGTGTATCTTAGGGTAGCGTTTTGGGCCCATTTCTGTATGTTCCAACCAGTAATGATACCTTCTTAGCTACATTTGCCGATGACACGGAAATCTTTACAGTGGATATCAAACCTAATGTAGCATCACAAAAAGTACAAAATCATTTAGATCAATTTCCATAAGTCATCCAGTAATCAATGTCCATAAGTTTATATTAATAATATTCCCATTCCTATAAAACTAGTTGTCAAATACTTGGGATTGCACCTGGATGAAAAACTTACGTAGACAACGTACATTAAAACTAAATGGAAACAACTAGATCTTAAACTAAAAAATATGAACTGGCTATTTAACAAAAGGTCTCAGTTATCTCTTAAAAATAAACTGCTTCTCTAGAAAGTTGTACTTATACCAGGTTGGGCATACGGAACGGAACTATGGGGCTGTAGTAAACCTTCAAATACGAAGATACTTCAAACATTCCAATCCAAAATACTCCGTATGAGAAGTAAAGATCCTTGATATGTATCTAACCAAACACTTCACAATGATCTGGACATCCCATTACTTAAAGACATAATAAAGAATCACTCAATAAAATATAAAAATTGCACCACTGATCACAACCACGAACCGATAAATAATTTATTCACCCAACCACCTGTCGAAAGAAGATTGAAGAGAGTATGACCAGAAGACCTACCGCAATAATACTTAGATAACCGTCATTGGACGGTACCTAACTCACATTAATTATAGTCCTATTACTATTACAGACTATTTACTTATTACCTTGTGTATAGACTAGGTTGTAAACATGCAATATAACAATAAAAAAAACTTTTTACTACTAATGTATAATTAAATTACTTCAGATAAAATTGCCGAAATATCATGGTTTTGAAATCTACAAAAAACTTGAAGAATAGTAAATGCGTATCATAGTAAATATTAAACGTCTTTAAAACGCCTCAAAAAGACCTAAAGTTTATACCTAATGTTAAAACTACTTAAGAACTGAAGCAAAATTGCCATTTTCATTCGCAATTTCGATTTAGTTTAAGCCATAGGCCAAGATCATCTCCATACAGGTTACAAAATTAAATTTAAATATTCTAGAACTACAGCCTCATCCGTTTCTATAAACCAAACATTATCCTAGACCCAATAGAGATAAAAAACAACCGAATTATCTCAATAAAGAAATGATGGTACCCGGTTGTTTTCAACATGGTGACCGTTCCTCAATCATTATAATACGTCGTCCACTCCCTCTGTCAATTCACAATTCAGCTCCTGTCGTCACCACAGCATAGGAAACAAATTTGTTTCCTATGCTGTGTCGTCACGAATCATTGTGATAACTCCCTCACAAACGCCACGTCAGTGAACCATTATTAGTCGAATCATACATCCACTAGGTCATTCACAGTGAACTTCGTACGCTTCTGCTGGCCTGCTTGGCTATCACGTCAATTAACGAATAAAATTCTCAAACAAGTGCCACATAGAGTCCAACAGTGCAACTTTATCAGCAAAGGCTAGATAATAGACTGCTACCAAAATTTCAAGACCTCAAATCATCAATCAAGAAAACAAAAACAATATATAACTGGAACTCAGATATTATGCAAAACACAGCCAGACGATACCTAGCAATAATATGTAATAATAGTAATGCCACTAACTCAAACAAATACTACATACCCTTATCATACATGAATGGATTTTTTGAACAAATATAGAAAATGTTGGCAAAATATGACATCAATGTTGGACATAAATCGTCAAAAACATCCGAAAATTATTTTTTAAATTTTTATCTCAATGTTGCTAAAGATTATCAGTCAGATGCTGTTTATAAAATAAATTGTAAATACTGCAACTAAACATACCAATATCTACATAGAAGAGTTATTGCACACAAACATAGTGTACAAACCAAAAAATTGAATACTACAACCTTATAGCTAAGTATTCACTGCTTAGAATGGCCATGCCTAGCTTAATAAATTGAGTTTGTTTCCAACATACACCAGTGGGAAATGTTTTAAACACGACCCTGAACCAGTGGTAGTTTTGAAGTACTTGCCATTTGGCTTTAGGATCAAATATTTCATTTACATTTCATATCAAACTAGCAAAAAGTGCACATAAATAGGTGTATTATCTAATGTTTACATCATTCAAGTGCTTATTGAAAATGACAAATAGCCCAAATGTTTATGCCATAATTAAGTGTTTTATTTATGATTAAGTCAAGAATAAAAAAAATTTATATACATGATATTGATATTTTTGTAAGCGTTCTGCATAGATACTTGGAAATTATAACTATCTTTCACTATCAAATAAAGTATAAGCTAAATATGATCACCAATATGTTTTTTTGTGTATTTTCTACAAATTTTATCTCTCCATTTTTGCAATAATTTACTCAAAATTGATCTAAAATTGATGAATTGTTTGGAAATGTGATTCCATTTTTAAAAAGTAAAAAGAAAAAAGGAAAAGACAAGTTTTTTCTTTTTCCTCTTTTACTTTTTCTTCAGGATGAAAATAACATGGTAACGTCGAAGTAATATAATGATAATGATACAAGGTGATGAAAAGGTGACGAACACCGAAAACACGATAAAAAATACTACAAATAAAAGTATTACGAATGACCTTAACTAATAACATTTATATTTAATTTTAAAAACAAAATAAAATATTAATGCTGCTCTTGATAGAATTTATCCCTTATCTATACATTCTTAATTTACAACAAACTTATCGATGAAATTAATACAGAAATACTTTTCCGATAAGCTACACAGTCTTTTTTCCTTTACAACTTTTCCAATAATTTAGAAACTTTAACAATTTATAATCATCGGATCTTTCATTAGGTAACATGGCGTGTAAGTATCGGTAATAGTATTATAGAGAAGTATTTTATAGTAATATATATTATATTGAAGAGAAAAAGTACTTTACCTTATGTAATATGTGTTCAATTACAACATTTCTGTCTTTATAGGATTCGAACTTATGACTTCCAGCTTATAAAACGAATACTCACTACAGTAGTTTGTTGACGACAGTGAGGAATTAGTTATTTTTGTAATCATGGTGTTCAATTTATTATTTATTGTCAAAAATCAAACTTTTATTATAGGAACATCAAAAACTGTGATCAGCTCAAGACCTGGACAATTACCTAAATAAAGAACGTCACAGGAGGGTATCATGTTACAAGAAATATGCACAATTGAACAATTTTTACAAAACAGGGTCAGCATTACAGAAACACACACACACACACACACACACACACACACACACACACACACACACACACACACACATAGAGCAATTGAGACTCTTCTATTTATTATAAACAATGAGTACAATGCGAGTCCGAGAGCTTTATTAACCATAAGGCATTTTAAAGAACCAGTTAAATTCTTTCAAAAAGTGCAAAGAAAACAATATGGATGGCGATATTATATCTCCCGCTTATTTATGAATCCACTACTTACTATGCTGTTTAAACTAAAGTAAACAATTCCTCAAAGAAAGTACTGAAAATATGCCTTTAGGTAAAAATCTACAACTAATCGAGAAGATAATATTGTAAGAAATAAAATTAAATATAACAGTCCATGAGCGATTTAGTCCCAACGGAAATTGAAAATCATTCACGCATCCATTTCTAATTCAGACCTAAAAACAATATTCTGGCTTTAAAACATTTACGAATGATAGCACAAAAAGTCTTTTGATTTATTCTTACTCAATAAAACAAAACTAATATTGCAAATATGATTGCGAACGTTCAATAGTGGGACATGATATGGGAACAATAAGAAACGCTCATAAATTTAATAATGAAGGCTTGTCCCGGTCCATCTCTTTACACAGTAACTATTCTTGAACCGAATTGTTTCAGCATTGTTTAAAGCATTAAATCTGTCAGGAAGTCAAAAATTTTCAAATGTGTAATTCTTATACAGCAGTAATAAACTTTTAATATACAAATATGTTTTAAAAACTCTAATCTGGAAGAAATATTTCTACTGTGCTCTATATTTTCATTACAAACTAAAGGTAAAAGTAATATATCTATTGTTAAAGAAGCGATTTCTTATTTCTATGAGGTAAAATGTAGTATTGGTAAAATTCTGCGACAAAAATTTGTTTTAATAAATACTTTGTATGTATGAAAGTGATTGTTTCACGATGTGAAATGATGTACCGGTGATTATAAATTGACTATAGCTTGGATTTAAAACTAAGTTCCACTGACAAAACTTCTTGGTTTTATCATCATCACGGACTTTTTCAGCGTGTAATCCCAGCCTTTCCATCTGAACCAGACGATTCCTAGAAAATAAAAATGGAGAAAAATATAATAATTATTTAATTAATATTTAAACTCGAGAAACAATGATCTTTCGTTCTATCACTGGCTATATGAACATGCTGTTGAGATAGGTCATGAATATTGTTTAACATTAACTTCATCGGATCGATGTATTCAGGGCCCAAAATCAATTAAGCGGGGGTCACGCAATGCTTTCATTCATAGCCGATCAGTAGGCTGTCAGGAACAAATGAATGTACTGGTTCCAATTTCTGTAATATTTGGATACAACTTTGGAATGGTGTATAGGCTTAGTTCCCTACAGTATCACTCAAGTCTGGGCATTAGAAATTTTTCACTATGGCCGGTTATAGTTACATCACAGGTAGTTAGTAAGCGAAAAACAGCTACTTTTTACAATGCTGAACTTAAGGAAAGAGCCTATTCTACTTTCCAATGGTTGGCTGTCGCGATATTTTCAAATTGAATAAGATAGATGGATCAGAAGACTTTCAATCAAACAGTGATAACTTGAATCTCATCCATGTTTTTATTTTTGTGTATTTATTCTTTCTCTAATATTGAAACCGGATTTACTGCATTTGCTTCTACCTCAGTTGCTGATAGGTCTGTTCTTGGAACACAATTAGTTTCATAATTTCCAATTGTTTGATTTTTTGTTGTAGAATTTTTAAGTTTTTCCTGACTTTATCGAGTCTTTCTTCATTCATTTTCTCGAAAGTTCTATGAATTTTTGATTCATCTTTCTAGAAGTTTAGTTAAACATTTAGTTAGACATTTTATCGATTTTTTAAAATGATTAATTTATTTTACTAAACGTTTCATCGATTTTCTCATGAATGTCTCGTCTGTAGACGGAAATTTAAAAGATTCTGGCCTTTTCATTCGCAATGAGCACTTCCTTCAATCGTTCTTGAATAATCTTTTTTAAAAACCCTTGGAAACTGCATATCGTTACTCCAACTGTTCTCGTAACTGCTTCACGGTAAGATGTTGATAAGGATTTCATTTTGAAGATCTAATCTTTTAGTTTTCTATGAACCATAGACTAGTTAACATAACCGAAAAATTAAAATATGGACCGAATGACATTGTAAAATATCTAAAAATGCTAATACTACGAATAGCGGGAATAAATCAGAAATTTTTTACACGAATCGATCTAATATAGAAACATGTAAACGATATATTGGGACGGTTACGAAATTAGTTTATATGACTGATTTATTATTTTGACTAAATATTTTACAGGTTGTAAAAGAGATCACGTAAATTCATTTAAATGTAAATTTAAAAAGTATGTCAACTAAAAAAGTTCGTTTTTGGTTTCCCAAAATTTCCCAATTTTTAAAGACATAGTTACGCTTAATATGATTTATAATTGATACATAAAAGATAGGACATACTTTATAATAATTACTGAAGGCAATATCAATAGATATTTGAAATTAATATTTTCAACTAAAATATTTGTAAATTAAAGGTCTTACCTTGTCTTGCTGTAAGATCCTGAGGATCGTTTAAGTACAGACCATTCAATCCTCGTCCACAAGACTTCCACCACCATCCACCTTTCAACATTGATGCACAATTTAAGCTGGACCGATCGTTGTCCCTAAAATATTAATCCAAAATAATATTAATAATACTTCAGTTCTTTTAAATAAATAATAAAATATATATTTCTTACAAATAATAAATTATTTTAAATGCTAAGAATAAAAACTTTCATGGGTACGAGATTTTTTAGGTAGGTGTTCACTGACAAGTTCCAGTATATCTGCGAAACAATTCAGAGATCATTCAAGAAACAGACATTTAACGATGCAAATATAAAACGTCACAAGATAATGAAGAGAAACCTATTGTGTTACATGGATGTAAACATGGTCGATGATTATTTTCAACGGAAGAGATTTTTGCTGTAAATACCATAGTGAAAGAGTAATCATTCGAGAACACTTTGACCACTCTCGTCAGTAGTTATGTAAGCGGGAAATTAGATTCTAGTCACCATTCAAACACCTTCTGATCGCACTTCAAGACCTGTTTAAGATCTGTTCCATACCTGTTTAAAACCTGTTCACAACGTATTCAAGGCCTGTTCAACATATTCAAGACCTATTTGAGACCTGTTCCAGACTTGATCATAGGATAGAAAAACAGTTCTTAAACAGGTTTCGAAAAGGGTTTAATTTTTTTTTGTGTTGAATAAATACATAACGATGACGGTTTTCAGACGCACGAATAATTGTCAATGCGTGAAACATGGAAACTCTTAGCCTTTTCACAGTCAGTCTCGTTTCATTGTACAGTCGAAAATGATTCATGTTACGCAGCATAATGACAACTGATCCTACTTTGAATTGTAAATTGTTAGGAAAGGGTTCAGGCTGTTCAAAAAGGATGTACATATGTGGAAAATTATGAGTATAATTTCAGTGTATGTGGACTGTATTATATAGAGCTGGTTCAAATAAATTAGGATATGCAGTAAAGGGTTTTCTCGGCTTTCACTCGTGGTTATTCTTCATCCGCGAAATCTGTCCGAGTACCGGTTTCTGAACATGTGTTTCGCACTGAGATTACGATATAGAGCACACTTTGCGTCTGTACACGATTTAAAATAGTATTCGCGGTATTTTTCGCGTAACTAAACGCGGGAGAGAGCTAATTATTTAGCGGCAGTCAACAGTATAGAGCGTCTTTTTAGCGATAGAAAACAGCCAAGAGAGATGCTGTTCTTCTTGATAAGCGAAGAGAGAGAGAGAGAGAGAGAGAGAGAGAGAGAGAGGGTGGACTGTCCCCAACGACAAAAGAGATACCTGTACCAAGCGATAGGTAACAGGGAAGAGAGAACGACTGTCCCTAGCGGTAGCCCACAATCAAAAGAGAGTCTTTCTTCTTTGCTATCTTAAAACTGTCTATATTCGTAATGGAGTGGAGTTAAAATGTGAGTAGGAAGAGTTGTCAAGGGTTATACTAAGATAATAGTTGTAAAATTGTGATAGAAGGATAGTTAATGATACAGCGAGACAATGACATGATTTTTCGCATGTGAAAAAATTGAACACAGGCCATTCCAATAAAATCAGAAACTGACGTTGGATAGCTGATTAGGTCATCCCGATTTATACCTATATCAACTGATTTGAACGAAAACAACTTTCCTGGAAGAAAACTCAAAATGATCGCATTCAAATCATCGACATCTGTGTTTTTTGCCGCCAATATTGCTCGTCCAATTATGGTTTTTGAACTGATTAGCTGTTTCCGAAAAAACACACTGAATAAGCTCGGCGCAGCAAATTAATAATAAATTTACTTTAGAATTACGCTGAGAAGGTAAAATGATAATTGTACACGTCACTGTTACGCTCGATGCATAAACAATAATAATGGCTGAAAACTGTGTCGAGTTTTCGGAGTGAGAGAAGGTTTATTGTGTGAGAGAGACAGAAAAGCAACTTTGTTCTCGTCCCGACTCCGTGCTATTTACTGGGTAAGAAGTGATACTGATGGACGCTTGGCAGGTATAATTGATCTAGGGATAATTGATCAGTTATCAACCAGGGGTAAAATTATTAAATTACTAATATGCCTATTATAATATAGGGGTTATTGATAGAAGGGCGAAAATTAAGAGTTATAATGTTTAATGACACATCATAAAAAATATTTTGTCCGGATATTAAAAAAAATGTTTGGAAGTAGATCACCCTTATCACTTAGGGGTATGAAAAATATCTTATGACCTATTTTCAGACCTAATATATATATATATATATATATATATATATATATATATATATATATAGTAGTTTTGAGTTTCTTGAACCGTATTATATTTAATATAAAATTAATGTTTCTTGGGTTTAGGTTCAATAAAGATATGTTACATGTGGAACTAGATTTTATTTTCCATTGCAATCAATCAACATTTCGGCAGGAAACCCTTGTCTTTGTCAAGATTCCAAACGTAAAACGTGACACAGACATTAACGAACTGATCGTTAATGTCTGTGTCACGTTTTACGTTTTGAATCTTGACAAAGGCAAAGGTTTCCTGCCGAAACGTTGATTGATTGCAATGGAAAATAAAATCTAGTTCCACATGTAACATATCTTTATTGAACCTAAACCCAAGAAACATTAATTTTATATTATATATATATATATATATATATATATATATATATATATATATATATATATATATATATAAATCGGTCAAGCCTTTTACGGAGTAGTATGGAAACCAACTCTGTGAGACTAATACGGCTATTAAAAAATAGGCCTTCGTAATAGACCTATTTTTCTAGTACAAATGAATATTTTTTTACAGCTTATAAATACAGTATAAACATATAATGATATTACCTGTTATAAGTGGAAAACGGACTGTTATTACTTCCATACCATGGATCATTCAGAGAATCACCAGCATTTCCTTCGTATCCATCAATTTCAAGTTTGTAGTAATCAGCTTCCGAATAAATCTTGAAATGAGAATACTGGGCGAACCTAAAAGAAAATATTTATTATAGAAGAAAAATACGATAGATTTTTGTTGACTTGGTAATAAAAGGGGGTTTAAAAGTAATAATATATAATATTTTGTATATAATGTATTAAATATTTTTGGACCAAGATACATGGCAGATCTCTTTACTATTGATTTCTTAATATTTTCCAATTAAACATGTTGATTGATTTTAGTGCGAGTCTCGTAGTGATGAGGTAAGGTATGCAGGATATCCTGATGATTGTATAAGTACAGTAGCAGGGAATACATATAAAATTGCCTCGTATCCATCACGTTAGTATAACGGAATACTAAATGAGAGAAGTTTGTCATTTTTTATTAATTATTATTTTCAATATTTTTTTTGTAATATGTCGACTTTCTTTAAAAAAGTTTTTTGAACACCAATATATACATACTCTTTTTAGAACACTGTGGAGTTAGCAAAATTCAACGTCACAATTAATGACTACAGCCTTCAGAATGTACAAGACCAGGTGGAAAATATCGAATTTAGTAGTGAAGTTCGTTTTGGTTCGTAAATGCCCCTTTGTCCGCTTCTCGTCGATCGATGATGATAGGGTTAATAAATGTTGAAGTTGTGGAGTAAAAGTGATGATTTATTGACAGCAACTCGTAATTACACAATATGGTGTTCGTTCGGTAACTACTCAATATTGACTGTGTTCATTTGAACTCAAATCCCCCAATTTATAATCTCACACATAATAGATACATAAGCACCTTAGGTCATTGCTTCGTTCATATCACACCACCTAACTTTTGCTTATAATACAATTTAATCTACGCCTTAATTGCGACACTTAGAAAGTTCAATTAGAAAATATTATTATTCGGCAATTTATTTAGTTGTAGGTAAATGAACTAATTATTAAATTATCATACGATATGGTTTTGCAATATATATATAATGCAAACTTATACACGGTGAAACTATAAAAGATTAAGAAGTTAAGAATAATGTGAGATTACAAATTAAGGGGTTAATTTGTGATTGAACACCAGGTATACGCCTGGTGAAACATAAAAGGAATAGGTGAATGCTGTCTCAAGCATTTATGTTTCCTTCAACGACGACTAATGGAGATCTGAAAAATTAAACTTCTGGTCATGGGAGAACAAGTACAAACAATTAGACACATTCTTAATAGGACTACAATTTTAGACTTTAAGCTGAAAATGTTAATTTGGTCAATAAAACAGATGCCAACACCTAATCGTGAAAGGAGCCATAGGAAACTATTGTTCTACGAATTAAAATTTTTGCAAAGATTTAATACATTTACCAGAGTATTTTTGTAAATGTTATGTTAGACGTGTTATGGGTTGCGTTTACAATACGTCCGCAGGTTACCAATGCAAATTACCCAAATGCATATTTGCACGGAAATTGTCCTAAACTGAATTAATACTAATTCACAAACCCAAAGGAACAAGAAATGTAGGACGCTCCATTTAAAGATGTACTGAAGTTTGATGCCTAAACCCATACAATACAAGAAAAGTTCAAAACTTACGCAGCATTACTTTGTAAAATTTCGTTAAGACTTATTATGTTTTATTGCTGCTGCTTTCTCTATGATACACCGTGCCTTTCAATTTCATTAAAGCATTTAAAGTTATATATACATCCAAATGGTCCGATATTTTAAAAGTCTGTTGAGTAAAATTGAGTTTAATCGAAGATAACCCTTGAAAGTATAATTAGAAAACGGCCCAATAACCTCGTTCCCACCACAACTAATGGCTTAAGCGATCGTTCATCAGTCAAAGAAGATTGGCTATGAATTGTGCTTTTAATTTTGACATTTTAATGCAACGTTCTGTTCTCTCATCACTGCAAGAAACTGCATCACAAGATAAATAATATTTTAAAAGATCATAGCGTGTATGCTACATACAAACGCCAAAATGTCTCGCATATCTTGAATATCGTCGCTTGAAATGCTAATTTGGTATTTAATGATAAACTATCGTGTTTGTTTCGAAATATTCTGATCAGTGGCGTATAGAACTTTATAAAAGGTATATACGAGTAGATAATATTGAAAGATATAAAGAAACAAATTCCTTTATATAGTATATACTAATATTAAAAAAGTATAGTGTCGTACAAGACGGTTACTGTTAGGAAGGTAGGCCTAAGAAACCTGAGCAGGACTGTTTTAAGACTTTGCATAATGCTATTCTCCCATCAGTATATCTCATCATATTATTAGTAAAAATAAAACTACGCCTACGCCTTAAAATAGTCAGATGTTCTTTTTCTTCTTATTCCAAAGTTTATTCTATTTCCTTTCATTCTGTTAATATGTTGTTTCCATTTTGTTAAGAATTTTTTGATTTCGCAAAAGTTACGGTCGCCTTTCTTAAACAGTGATATAGTGAAACAGTTTCTTACAGTCTTTACTAGCTCTGTTCCGCAGTGTCTTACTATCAGTTTTTCCCAGTGTTTCATCTCTACTGTTTCTAATATCCTTTTTGTCCTCTCTGCGTCAACTCGTATTTCTCCCGCGTATGATAATTCTGCCTTTCATTTCTTTCCCGATATTTTATTTCTCTATATTGTTTTATTCAGACAACCTGCGGATCTTTTTGCTCTTTTCACTTGATCTTCCACTTCAGTTTCGAGCTTTCCGTAGCTAGATAATATGATGCCTAGACATTTAAACTCCATCACTTGTTCTATTATGTGACCTTCCAGCTCCAATTTATACCTTAATAAATTTGCTGTTGTAACCATGCATTTTGTCTTTTTTGGGCAAATTTTCTGATTGTTTTATTAAATTGGTGCATATATATTAAATTTTAAGTTGTTTTTCTCCCATTTGGTATCCTTTATTAATTCTTACTTTTTTTATTATTTCATCCATAATCAGGTTAAACAATAGAGGACTCAGGGAATCTTCCTGTCTTATCCCATACCAGCTTCAATAGGGTCGGTTATTCTTCTTCTACTGTACTTTTATTGTGTTGTTTTGGCAGATACTTTCAATCGTTTTGATTATTCCTAGAGGTATCTCTCCTGCGTACAATAAGCGGATAATGTACTTTAATTTATCACTTTCATTGCTAATTTTAGTGTTATGTTTAATAAATTAATTCCTCTGTAATTTTCCGGGACCAATTGGTATTATTTTTTGAACAGAAGTATTTGGATTCTTGATCTCCATTCTTGCGGAATTCTGTTTTGTTCTATTATTTTTTAAATTAGTTTTAATAGTTGTTTGATCAGATCTGGTTTCCCGTCTTTCGGGAGTTCGTTCGGTATTCTGTCCTCTACTGGTGATTTTCAATTTTTTAATTTCCTTTAATGCTTCCTTTACCTCTTCCTCCTCAATATTATTTATTTCTTCGTTTGTCGTCACCTCTGATGTTGGTAGTTCATTATCGTCACCTTTAGAAAATAAGGATCGAAAATAGTCTACCTGATTCCTTATATATGTGTTTCGGTTTTATTAGTTCGTTCATCTCTTTTCTTTGTCCCCTGACCATTCTCCATATTTCTTTTTGTGTTCTGTAGAAGTTTTGTTCCATCTGTTTTGAGAAGCTCTGCCAGTGTTCCCTTTTTCTTTGTCTAACTAAAGTATTCGTTTCATTTCTGATTCATTTATAGTAGTTATATGCCTATTGTGATTGTTGTGTTCTGTATTGTACAAAGGCTTTCTTCTTTTCTTCACATTTTGTCTTCACTACCTGTCTATATAATGGAGTTTTCTTTTTGATATGTTAGTGTTCGTTACTTTCCTCTCTCCAAGTGATCCTGTTGCTGGGTTAATTGTGGTATTTTTGAGTTTTTCCCAGCTTTTTTCGATGTTATATTCTTCTAATATTTCATTCCCAACAATATTCTCTATTCTCTCTATTCTATATTCTCTGATATTCTTTTTCTGTATAATTATTCGGTAGATTCCGTATTTGTCCTTCGACTCTGATATTTGTTCTCTGATCTCGAACACATCTATGCCTTTTTTGTCGATTGTATTAAGGGTCTAACATTCTGATGAATATAGTAAAACTGGAAAGATTAGTCTTGACCAGTCTGATTTTAGTTCCTATATTGATTTCATGGCTTCTCCAGATTTTAGTAAGCTAAGCCATTGTTTTTTTGCTAGGGATGATCCCTGCATTTTTTCTTTAGTGCATCCTCCGGTGTTACTTATGATAATACACTACGTACAATATTAATGATATTATATATTATTGAGATATAAATGTTTTGAAGGTTTATTAATTTTTATGTCTTTCACATTGCACTCCTCGTCCAAATAATTCATTCTGCGGTTATGAGTCTCCACAATGTTTTTGAATGAAACTGATTCCCAGCTTAATTAATAATGTTTATTGGCTCGTGTATATAGTCAGATTGCTCAACGTCGTAATAAAAAATTCATTCAGTCTGATTACTCAACATGCATATGGATTTACGTAGATATTTTTATGAACAAATTTGGATCCCGAGGCAAGTTCATTTAGAAAGTTATTAGTCGTTTACTAGTTTTTTTTTCGGTAATTAATGGTTATGCGTTTATATGTAGAGGTTGATAGACATGTTTTGATCAGTAAATGGCCATTTTTGGGTATAATTGAGAAAATACGGAAATTTTTAAAAAGTGTTTATCTTATACAGGTATTTTCGAACTTTGACAGTTATCAAATTGGGTGTCATTTATTCAGTGTGTTTTGCCAAATGAACATGAATGGATATTATCCCAGTCAATAAAGATAAAAACGTACAGCTGAATATGTATTGTTTTTTTTTAACAATCTTAAAAAAAGAAATACACAGTTTTTCACCGTCAAAAAAATTATTATACATTCTAGAGAAAAATGTTTCAAACAAAATTGTAAAAGAGAGATATTAATATTAAATAAATTTTAGTTCAAATAAATATAGGAAAATATATAAAACTAGTAACTTTGCCCGTCGCATGCGACGGGGCATTCAATCAATTGTCATCTAGTCATTAAATTTTTA